ACATCTTAGCGTCCTGTCACCTTTTTTGTTTTTTTAAGAACCAGTAAGTACTAAATAAAAGATTCATTTAAGACACCTTCCTTCGTGTCTGTTCAGGCTTTTTCCAGTTGCTGTGAGTGGTTCCCTGGACTCATCGGTGACATGGGACCAGCATGTCAGGAAGCCCTGCGGACGCTGGTCCTCGGGGCCCGTGTGGCATCCACTGCAGAGGCCTGAGCTCCCACAGGACGGAAACTGCCCGTGTGCATTTAACTGGGTTTTTGTTCCTAGCATCATTTTCTTAATAAAACTGGATTTGATGGTCATTTCTTCATCATACTTCCTCCTAAACGCAATTTTCTTCTAAAGTTCAGTAATCTTACTCTCCACACATTTAATTTCACATTTAATCATCAGCTCACTGGTCAAAACATAAACTACTGTAGGTCAGTGCTCTCTCCTAAGCACAGGTGTTTGGAATAATCCCCTCCACACCCAAACCCAAACCCAGACCTCGACCCTGCGTTAACGAGCAATGTGCTTCCGCTGTGCTAGTGTCAGAAGGAAGCTCTTCTGAGCAAAACACGGTGTTGAAAATCCTCTCGGACACTCCATGTGCCTGTCGTCACAGGCACACCATCCCGCCTGGCCTTACAGGAGGCAGGTGCCAGGGAGCTTCTCCCAGGGGCTGAGTGCCCACAGGGCACCGAGCACGCCAGTCCCAGCTGGCCGCAGGCACAGGGGGACAGGGCTGCCGTCTGAATGTAAGACCTGCTCCCGGCGCAGCTGCACTTTAGCAGATCCTTGCCTGTGATCCAGTACTGGATCTGACACAGGTGAGATTTTTAATGGGTGAGACCCTGACATCTCACACTGTCTTTGAAAGAGCGTGGGAGGCCGAAGTCACTTCGGAGGAGAGTCCGTGCGTGTCCTGCGATACTCGGCACCCAGCCCCGAGCTACCTTTGGGAAGGCAGCATGAGCTATGCTGAGGGCAAAGGAAGGACCGCTTTATGCTGCCTCAGAAAATCGTCATTAACCCTGAAAGCTTTAGAATAGTCCTGAAATGTCACTAGAAAAACTCAGGGCCTGATCTTCAGGTTTCTAATTGAGTCAGGATTTATTCCACCTGCAGGCGCTGGGCCCTGAGGACAGGGGTGTTCACGCTGTGGCCTGGAGAAGGCTGCGTGCTGGGCCGCCCAGGGTCAAGGGCCTTGGTGGCTGGTGGTGGCTGCCAGGGACGCTGCGGAAGGGCTGTCTGACCAAAACGAGGGCCGCTCTGCAGATCTGCGCACCAGCGCTGAGGAGGTGTGTGTGTGGGGGTGATGGTTCTGTGGGAGACGGGCAGTAAGTAAGGAGGCCGTTCCCAGGTTCACCAGAAAACCAAAGCCGTCTCTCTCACTGGTTCACTGTCCCCATGCTGTTTACTGCCAGGACCCAACACCGGGAGCCCTGCGGGTACACACAGCTTTTCCCCGAGATGACGGAGGAGCACAGGGACGAGGTGAGGGCCAAGCCTTCTCCTGGGGGCCCCTGGCTCTCAGCACTCTGCCTCCCGAGCCTCCGACCGCTCCGTTCTTTTATACGGAATGCCTACCAATATTATTTGACTGCATAGCACCGTAATTAAGAACTAATCACAAAAACAGGGAATCCCATGAGCACAGTCAAAACAAAACAAATCTGCGCCAGCAGAGTGTAGCAGACAGCCTGTTAATTCAGTTAAAATTGCACCTGAGGATAAAAATCAGCCAAAAATTGAATGTAAGTACAAGAGGCACAAATCGTGTGCTCAGTACAAGTTAGAGGAAAGCGTAAAACAACTCAGACCTCACATATAGGAAAGGCTCCCGTGGCAGCCTCATGCCAGCCTCCCTTGGGGCTGACTCGCTGCCTGGTGGGTGAAGTGGGTCTGAGGTGGCGGCACCGTGTGAGCCCAGCAGGCGCTTCTGCCTGCCTCCCCGCCCCCCAATCCGGCCCGTCTCCTCTGACACAGGAACAGGGCCTCTGGCTGGCCTGGGAGGTGCCAGGCAGTTCTCCAAGTCCGTGTGATGATGCCACCCACAGTACCACCAAGAATGACGGAGGAGAGTCACAATCACTTCCTCCTGTCACTCGGCAGAATGCACTCCGAGATCTGACAGGAACGAGAAACTATCGACGAGCCAGGTTGCCCTCCCCCCGCATGAGAAAGCCTGCTTACTGAGCCCCATGCTGTGTGCCCCTCAAGTCAGCCCTACCACTGGGCCACTCAGTTCCATCCAGTACCAGTCCATCCAGGACCGCCAGACGCCCACAGCAGGACAGGAGACACGGTGCAGTGTCCTAACGACAACCTCTTCCCCGTGTGAGGAGTGCGTCCTGGGTGCCCGTCCACACTACCTGTGCGGGTCCTGGAAGGCTCAGCCCCACTCATCAGGAGGGTCATGTCGGGTGGCAGTGTATCCAATGGCCAGGAGCGCCCCCAGGAAGCCCAGTCTTGGGGGTGCACAGAGAGGGGGTGAGCAGGGCCGGAGAGGGGGCGCCCCCACCCCTCACCGCAGTCCTTCGCAGCAAGGACAAAAGAGGGCAGGACACGAAGCAGGGACGTCCCCGGCCCTGGGGGTACACCGCGCTGGTGTAGTCCTTCCAAATGCCACCGAGACCATGAGATGCAATTAAGAGACGCCAGGGCAAAGCAAAGCAGCACAGATTTGTAAAGGGAGGAGGGGGTGGCTTAACGCCACTGTTTAAAATTTTCACCACACTGGCTTTTGGCTTCTCTTGAGATGACATGACAGTCCTATAAGGAAACTAACAGAATGAAAGAAGCTTCAGGAGCCAAAATGACCCAACCTCAGTAAGGGGCCTCTCGGGCTGGGTCTGACCTCCTCTCCATGTGGTAAAGCGCTGGCGTCCAAAGACAGAATTGTCACTTACTGTCACTGGCGTAGGCTAGAAAGTCTGCTAACTACCCTGAATGGGATACCGATAAATATTTGCAGCCAACACCCCCTTAAAAGGTGAGTTGTGTGTGAGAATATTACTTGACATGGAACATGAAGGACCCTTGTTGGCTGAAATCGAGGAAAGCTACTTCAAGTGGAAGCAGCACCTTCTCAGCAGGAAGCGTGTCGGCCCAGGTGTGCTGTGTTATATCGGAAACAGGTGTCTCCTCTCCACCCAGGACAGCCTCTGTCCTGGAGTTATTGTAGTACCTACTTGCTTGTCCCTAATAAGGATAATTATCTCCCCAACTCCAGTGATGAAGGGGCCCCGAGCAGCACGCGCCCACACACCACGCTGCACAGCCAGCTGCCCCCTTCACAGTTGGCAGGAGACGCCTGGAGCCCGAGGACGTGGCACCAGGGAGGAAGCGGGCTCTGTGGTGACAGCCGGGCACCTCTG